TAGTTCTGTTCTGTAGTAAAGATTCACGTGTTGTATAATGCAGCATCATTTACTGTGTACCTGTGCAGTATTTTCCATATACCATGCTGTATGCTATCTATATACAGTACATGCTGAACTGAATACCTACATTGTTTATATACCTACTGAACTGTATTGGCTATATGCAGGTTGAACCAATTGTAAACTTATATGATAAGTTTACTGAATAAATATATATCTATATCTAAAGTGGTCTAGTGTATGTAAATATTTTGAGCTTTTCCCTGATAATGTTGTTTCATCACAGGTGTTACTCTGTTGTAGTGTGAGCCAGTGTGAGGTGGAGGTCAATATTAAACTGAGGTGTTTAGCTGTGGCTCTGGAAGATTGACAATTTGTCTTCTTTTAATTATAAACCAGAACACCTTTATTTATCACTTTTTATCCAGGTATAATTTGGCTAAATTTATCTTTTAAATTTACCTGGACTTAGAATGCCATTACAGTATGATTTGAAATTAAAGAAAAAATTATACAGTATTCAGTTTCATTTTGTGTTTTCAAGGACTTTAGAATTAATATGGTTTAGTGAGACTGTTGAACCATTCCAGTTCTTTACATATCTTTACCATTTACTTTAAACTAAACAATAAATACATTTTATTGTTCATTAAGGAATTCAATCTCATTAGTTCGGTGTCATTTAATGTTGCCGTAAAATCTGTTGACTGACTTATGCAGCAATTATTCTGTTATAGTCATGCCAGTTAATGTTGTTTTAAGAGATACAGTTTATAATGTAGTGATCTCCGTTAAAACAAACCATTTTTATTTTCTAAATTTGTCGCGCTGGGTTATGAAGGTGTGCATGGTGGGAAAGGCTTTGGAATAAGGAATACTGAAGGTGAAAGAACACTTGAATTTGGGGATGGTATGTAACATGTGTTTAAGAATAGGGCAAGTAGGCTGACCATGTAGGCCTATGGCAGGTGACACAGAAACCCAGATTGGCTATATTTTTGCCAGGAAATTAGAACAAGTTGCTTGTTAAGGATGCTTGTGTGTGTGTGAGACACATGTTACTTAAAGGTGGAGGGAGAGGAAGAAGGAGAGTGTGGGAATTGTGACGGAACTGAATGTAAAGGAAACATTTTCTGGTGTGTTGAGAGGCTAGGAAACAGCCAGTGAGGGGCAGTGTACCAAGATGCTGGGCCATAATAAAAGATGTTCCGTTGAGTGTGGTTGATGGCGGGAATGATGAAGTGGAGAGAGAGAGAGATAAAAAGAGAAAAGAAGATTGTGTGAGACGTGGAAGATGGTTGGCAACAGAGAGAAGTACAGTACCTGGAGGCTAAACTGCGATGGTTCAGGAGAGAAAGGAGGAAACTAACTGGGTCAAGAGATACACGAATGAATGTGGAGGGGAGGGGAGTTACAGGTAGGCAAAGAATGACATGAGGATAGGTTGTAAAGAAATGTTGGTGCTACTATAGTAACTGAGTACGTTTGTTGCTTGGAATAATGAGGAACAATCTGAACAAACTGAACAGAAAACGAAAGAATAATTGGACACAAAAAATGAGAAATTGTCGAATAATATCAAAATAATCGGAACTCAGTTAATTCGTATTTTCAGTAATTCAAGTGACCCAGAGTCTCTTTTTGTCGAGTCAATGAAGATATAGTGCAGTTTGTGGTCCACAGAATTACTGAAAATACAAATTAACGGAGTTCCGATTATTTTGATATTAATCGACAACTTCTCATTTTTTTGTTCAATTATTCATTCATTTTCTGTTCAGTTTGTTCAGATTGTTCCTCATTATTCCAACCAACAAACATACTCAGTTACCATGCTTTGACTGCCACATAAAAAACTCTATTTATAATTACTGTACAAACAAATATTTTTTAAGTGCACAAACAGTAATAATAAAGTAAATAATACAGTAATAAATAACTGTAAGACTTACTGCACATTGTGAGGTGAACTGATAATATGTGGATGATATTCAGAAAGTGTAATAGTATTGAGGATCAGGTCTGGGGTCCACTGCTCTCATCAAGAAGATTAATCCCCAACCTACCTAACTCAGGAGACTGGTTCCTTTGTTCTATGTGTTTCTCCCTTGTTTTGTTGTGTTAGTTGGCTGAAGGAGGTCTTAATACACCAGCTCCAAAATTTCATCTTTTATTTCTCCAATGAGGGTTTTTATTTCATTTACCAGTGTGGCCATGACGCCTTCGGAGTATCATCTACATTTTACGATCTCACATTATTTATTTATTACGGTATTATTTACTTAATTATTGTAAGTATATTTTATAAATATTTATATTTGTACAATAATCATAAATCGAATATTGTATGTGGCAGCCAAGGCAACTTTCGAACCACTCAGTTATTTCAAATTCAAATCGTTTAATTCATTTTTTGAAAACATACGAATTAAACCGAAGTCCGAATTACAACTATCCGATATAATGAGGGAAGAGCGTATAGTGTAAATACCCCAGTAAACTGTATATTATAGTAGCACCGAAATGTCAGAATTATTTTGATATATTAAATCTGATTATTTCAAATATTTTTTATGTATCTAGATGTGCTTAACAGTAATATTTCTAAGCCGAAAAATTCATTCTTTATTATAGTCTAAGTCCAAAAATTCATGGTTAAAAATATTCTAAGTCCAAAAATTCATCGTTTAAAAAATTTAATTCCAAAAATTCTTGTTAAAAATATTGTAAGTCCAAAAATTCATGGTTAAAAATATTCTAAGTCCAAAAATTCATGGTTAAAAATATTCTAAGTCCAAAAAAGAACCAAAATTTTAGTAGTGTAATAAGAAATTGTCTAGTTTTAGGGGTAAATTTTTTTTGCCATTCTTAAGAGCTCCAGCTTGGCATCTCCTTGTTTATGTATATTATAAGGCATAACGGACTACCTGGACGTTGGGAGAGTAACTCAGTGGGCGCCTACTGAGTATTCTCCCCACGTCCAGGTAGTCCGTTATGCTTGTATTTTTTTATATTATTGGTGAATGATAATTTGAAGGCCTTACTCCGGAGACTCTTCCGATTATCCTTTACCAAATTTTTTCAACGTTAGTCCTGGCAATGGCAAACTCAAAAAACACTTAAGGGTAAAAATAGGGCAATTTTTTGACCATTTTTCGCTCAAATTTTGCTATTTTTTCAATATTTTTAGCTATTTTTGTATAATTCTAGCTATTTTTTTCATATTTATAGCTTTTTTTTCATATTTATAGCTATTGTTTTATATTTATAGCTTTTTTTTATTTGTTATATATATAATATAGATGTATATATTTTTTTGTTTGTTATACCTGTATTGTGTATTGTATATTATATTTGTATTTCATTTGTTTATTATACAGTATTTGTATATATAATTTTTCAGATGCTTTATGAAAGTATTTTGCTTCAAAATGTGAAGATGAACTTTTCTGTACAAGTTGTAAAGAAAAGGTTAATGAATACTGGTAATGACATTTAAACATTTATTAATGGAAACTTAAAGGTATTACAAATTTTTCTTTAACAGGGCAGCAGTGGGCAGTCCAGGGTAGCAGCAGCAGTGGCCAGGCCATGACAGTGTCCAGGACAGCGGCAGCAGCAGGCAGTCCAGGATGGTGGCAGCAACAGTGGCCAGTCCATGACAGTGTCGAGGACAGCAGCAGCAGGCAGTCCAGGATGGTGGCAATCCAGGACTGTGGCAGCATCAGCAGGCAGTCCAGGACAAGACAGTGTCCAGGGCGGCAGCAGCCAGTCAGTCAGTCCAGGGCGGCAGCAGCAGTGGCAAGCCCAGGACAGGACAGTGTCCAGGGCGGCAGCAGCAGGCAGTCAGTCCAGGACAGCAGGGGCAGGCAGTCCAGCTTCGTGGTAACCACCAACCACAAAGTCCAGAATAATATTTCTGTACAAAATAAATTGTAAAATTAATAATCACGTTTATTTAACCAGAAAATTATTTTAAACATAATAATGACAATGTGCTGAAGTGTTTTAGACAATTTAACACTTAATGACCAAATTACTTACAAAAATCTAAATTTGGAAATTGAAATCTTTCACCTAATGATCCTTGATAACATACTGGCCTAGTGTTCAGGGAATATTATCAGTAACTGTACAGCAACTTAACCTAAGCATGTATATTGTACAAGTTTAGTTTAACCATAAGAGTTAGTCATAACTACAATAAACCTGCATCTTTGGTTCAGTTTTGTTAATATATTTAAAGTTTTCTTTCAATGACTTTGCTTTAGGAATTATTAATTTGTCAACAATTAATTTAACTAAATTTAAATCAATGAATGAATACCTTGGGCCCAGTACAGTATTGTTTATTAAAGGTGAAGGTTGCCGAGAGTAATTTATTATTTCTTAAGTACTGTATAGAAAATGTAGGTAACTTTACATCTATATTTATGAATTATTTCACCAAGTTCAGCATTAATGAGTTAAATTTTATGTATTAAATTATTGTTTTTAAAGTAAGAAGTTAAGAGTAAAGTCAAGTTATTACCTATAAAAGGTTTAAAGTAAGATTTTAGTACTAATTTATCCTAATACAGTATTATAACATGACCTTAAACTGAAGGTTTTATCCTCTATAGAAGTACCACATTAATCCACTTAATCTAGTACAGTAATTGAAGAACATTAGTGATGCACCGTTAATAACATAACTAGATTCAAAACTTCCCAATAATCTGCCGCCAGATTTAGAGTTAATGCTATAATTTAGGTCAATTTTATCATGCAGGTATAACAATTAAGTCACTATTTAGTCTCCCCACCAAAGCCAGACTATAAACAAAGCAAAATATCAGCCAAATACAGTATATTTAAATAAAGCAATTTACTCTGGTGGTACAGAACCCGTCCATAAATACATCAACTTTAGTAATAGTCTGACGGAATTCTTGAAGCTGCAATATTAAGAGCAGCTGGGTTTTAAATTTCATCATTATTATGGTGTTTAAGTCCACCCGGCACATCACGCAGTAATTATTAACGTTCTCACTAATCAAGTGGTCAACTATTTATAGGTAAATAGTTTAAAGGCTGTTGGAAGCTGCAACCATCCAGGAAGAATACCGTCTACATTAAATATTTACTGTACGGTATAATAAAAAGTAATGACTAATGTTATAACTCAAATAGAGACTTGCTAATGTTTAAGACTTATTTTGGGAACATTTAATCTATATTTACTCATTCTCTAATAAAATATAGTATTTAAAGGGAGTTGTTTATCATCGACTAATTTTGTTATCAAGAACGCATCTCCAGCCTCAACGACCAACTGAATGTCATTCATTATAGGTTAATTCTGTACCAGGTCTTTCTTAGTTCTAATGTGAGTTATATTGGTAAATAAAATATCTAATGTGCTTTAATGATGCTACAACATATAAAAATCTTTCTCGTCAGCGACAGTCTTTACCAGATTATTTTTCTCTTGATAAATAAAAGCTACTTTGTCTGGCCTGATAATATATTCATTACCGTACAATGAAGTGCTGTAGACCTGCACAGAGGACACGGCCATGTTATCCATCACAACTACGAGAATGATTGGCGGCCGAGTGACATGACCATAATAAGTGAACAGACTAAAGCTGGTTTCCGCAATTACTGTATTTTGCCGGTAATAAAAATTTTACAGGTTAATTTCTTCACCCAAAAGACGTCAAAATTGCATCACCTAATACTTTGTTTACCAATACGGATTATTCCACAAAATATTGATATTATCTTTAACTTATTAATTGGTGCATCCCTAATATTGTACTGTACTAATATTTTATCGATATATATATACTTAAGAGTTAACTAGACACGACAGTTCAGGAGTTACAAATACTGCACTGTACTTTGTTGAGAGTTTAGTGAAGAAACCACTGAGTTACCCTGGACTGGCGCAGGGCCGTGCAGTAAGAGTCGGTTCACCATAAAACTCTCGGGTCATTTGTTGGATCCTTCATCTTTAAGTCATCATCCTGGAATGAATAATTGTTACAACTCTATAGTCTGTACAAATAAATTAAATATTATACCTACAGTACATTACAGGTATCCCCCAATATACAGTACATATGCCCTATAGTTTCAACAAATGTCTACACTACACAGAAGCAAACAATGAATAAATCCCTTATTGATGCCACTTTTATCTGTATATGAATAGACTCTCCCTCACAGGAACAGAACCCCAATAATATACAAATTACTTCCACTAAATGAACACATTACCAGGAATAAAACTGTCATATTAAGGAACACCTGTCAACTAGTTTAATGAATAAATGAAGCATTACAGCACAACTTAAGTGGAGAACAATGCAGAGTTAAGTAAACTTATTTTTAATGCAGCTCTTTGACTATTGCCGAGATCACTGATAAACTTGAATACAGTATTACAAGTATTATGTAAGCTTGGATACAGTGTACAGTATTACAAGTATTAAGTAGTCATCCCCTGATTATACTGGTTAACTGCCCCCTTCCCCCACAATGTTTTATAGTACTTTATTATTGATGAACATTGTACAAGCTATCAGTTAGCTAAAGAAAATGTTTATTACATTCAAGAGCTGTTGGTAAGAGTAAGGCAAAGTAACATTCAACATTTTCTCCTCAATTTCTTGTAAGAATGCAGCAACATTAATAAACAAAATGGTGAAAAATTAATCAAAATTAAGTTAAAATTTAAATTAACTAAAATTTACAATTATGAGTTACTCATCCAATGACTGTCTACAAACATCAACAGGCCATCAACCCAGAGCATCAATTTACAATTCTTTACAAATACATGAAAGTTTAATAAAGATCATTAAAAAATCAATTCCACCATTTAGAAAATATGTAATCCACACTTCACTAGATATAAGATACATATATATAAAGATTACAGGTGTAGTTACCTGTACTGGGAACAACGTATTGGACAAATTGAGAACTATGGAGGCAGGCAAGTTAATAATGCCAAGGTTGATGCCAGTTACTTGGCTAACTTAAGAAGGATCTTGTTACTGTACAGGACCTTAGAGCCAGCCAGGTGAAGTTTGGGGGGAAGAAGGACTTTGAATATAAATGGTGGAAAATTAAACTAAAGGCAAGAGACTTAATCCTTGTTAGATGTATTTATAGATCACAGAACTGAAGTTTTTTATGCCAAGCCAGTTTAAAAGCATTAATACTGCATTATGGGGTACTGGCGACACTGACTGGAGGAATGAAATTACACTGAGAAACAGGAATGCAGACACTATGCTGAATATCATAGCCAGTAAACGGTTTGATAAAATATACTGTATACTCCAGACCAAACCCACTGACTTATAATACAAAGTCCATTCAGATTGTAGAAAGACTAAGCAAGATTGTCAGTCCAATTCCAAATTAAGTCAAAAGCCCCAAAAGCTTTCTACATGTGGGCACATCAGACCCAAGACCAAGATAATGTTACACACTCGGATAAGGGAAAGACGAGAGGCGTTAAATAGTGTTCACAAGAGGATGTAAACCTCCCATGTGTTTGAGGAGTGACAACACTGACATGTTCACAGTCAAGTATTAAAACAAATTATCAAAACTAAAGTTGGTAAAATGGCAGTTTGGGCCAATATGCCCGGGTAGTTTATCCTGTGTCTTTTGGTGCGACATAATTTGACCTTTAATTCCGGGGGAAGTAACGGTTTGTTTTCCCCCAAAAGTATGGAAAACCTTCAAGATTCATTTGTCATTCTTTGCCCCCTGGTTGAGATGGGGCTAGAAATACTCCCAACAGGTCTTGTTATAATCAGTATTAGTCTACAACTGGGTACAGTATTACAAGTGAAAGTTGCCATCTAGTATATTATATACCAAGTGCACACATCTTGTAGGTAACTATTCATGTACACTTCCGAATTATTTCACAGTCGGGCATTAACGCGACCAAAAATTATTTTATTCGTGTAAGTTATAAATTTTATGTATTAAATGATTGTTTTTGAAGTAAAAGCAAGATCATTTTACAATACTGTACCAATTTATCCTCATACTGTATTGTATAACGTGAACCTAACCTGAAGATTTTATCCTCTATGGAAGTACCACATTAATCCACTTAATCTAGTACAGTAATTAAAGAACAATCAAATACAGTAGTGATGCACCATTAATAACTCTCCCAATAATCTGCCGCCAGATTTAAAAGACACAGATTTAGAGTTAATGCTATAATTTAGGTCAACTTTATCATGCAGGTAAAACAGTCAAGTCACTATATAGTCTCGCCAAAGCCATACTATAAACAAAGCAAAGTATCAGCCAAATACAGTATTTAAATAAAACAATTTACTCTGGTGGTAGAGTACCCATCCACAAATACATCAACTTTAGTAATAGTCTTAGGGAATTCTTTTAGCTGCAATACTAAGAGCACCTGGGTTTTAAATGTCATTATTATTGCAGCGTTCAAGTCAACCCGGCACAACACCCAGTAATAAGTAATCAAGTGGTCAACTATTTATAGGTAAATAAAATCAAGGCTGTTGGAAGCTACAACCATCAAGGAAGAATACCGTGTATATTAAATATATACTGTACGGTATAAGTACAGACTAATGTTATAACTCAACATTATAATCTAACCAACACCTTAACTTGATCCAATAAACTTGCCATTAATCTGTTCATCAATGTTAAGTAACACAGTCTCGTCTTGTGTTGATAAACCAGCCAAGGTGCCAAGGAAAGTAATTACAATGGACGTGAAAATGAAAGCATTAAGGGTTGAAGCAACAGTGATAAACCACACCAAGACCAGAAAATATTAACTAACGAGTTACTAAATTTATAATTTTATTATTGATGTTCGTCACCTCGTGACGGCCATGTATTGTACTAGAGTTGTCTGCATCAGCTCAACGTTTACTTGAGCAGTCAGTGGTGAAAAATCCCTGCATTTATAAACAATGGCAACTTTTTTCTCATGTTCAAGACTTATTTTGGAGCATTTAATCATTATTTACTCATTCTCTAATACAATTGTTGCCAAAACTCCCCTCCAGCCTCAACAACCTGTCATTCTTTATAAGAGTTATGATAATACTGTACCAGCTCGTTCTTAGTTCTAATTTGGGTAATATTGATAAATATAATATATAATGTACTTTTACGGTGCTACACTACAGTCGACCCTCGTTAATTCGGACTAATAGGGGGGGAGGGTGACCGTTTTAGCAGATTGTCCGAATTAACCGATTTGGGGGTAAAAATTGCATTATATTTCAAAGTCATTGTTTTGTCACGATTTTATTCCACTTTCCACTGTAATACGGACGTCATTTCAGCAAAAATATTATATTTCCGTGAATGTATTATATCAAGCACAGTATGAATAGAATATCATTGTAATATAACGGTATTTTAACCGAAAACTAGTAAAAAACGAATAACATCTCAAGAACATTGGAAGCTTAGGTAAAGTCTTTTGTTTTCATCATGCATTTTATCCTATTTTACATTGAAATACACCACGTTTCAGCAAAACTACTGTTTATTTCTGAGAATATATTCATTCAGGCGCAGTTTAAGTAAAATATACGTGTGATGTAATAGTTTTTTAACTGAAAACGATTCGAAAAACACGTGTACCGTCTAGCCCTGTTCAAGGAGAGGACTGGGAGAAGCTGTTTAGTGCTGCAGACGATGACAAGGAAAATGATTTGGATGGATTTTAATGAAAATATTCAGAAATATGGTATCGTAGTATTCAAGTCAATTAGGATAGAATATTATTGTAATACAACAGTTTTTTTAACTGAAAACCAATCGAAAAGCGATTACGGTAACATCTTTTGAACGAAAGAATGCAAGTCATTGTCTTTGTCACGATTTTATCCCACTTTCCACTGTAATACGTACGTCATTTCAGCAAAAATATTACATTTCCGTGAATGCATTATATCAAGCACAGTATGAATAGAATACCATTGTAATATAACAGTATTTTAACCAAAAACTATTGAAAAAACGAGTAACTTCTCTTGAACATTGGAAGGTTAGGTAAAATCTTTTGCTTTCGTCATGTATTTTATCCTATTTTACATTATAATACAACACGTTTCAGCAAAACTACTATTTATTTCCAAGAATATATTCATTCAGGCGCAGTTAAGGTAAAACATACAGGTGATGTAACAGTTTTTTAACTGAAAACGATTCAAAAAACACGTGTACCGTCAAGCTGATACTCAACAGCTGGTGGTGCGTCATGCGTCGTTGTAAACAATAGGAGGTTGAAGTAGATTACCGGGTATTATATTAAGTGTGAAATATCAATAAGGTTTTTATTACCGGTATTTTTTGTAGATCAATGAGAGCTGTGATACCGTATATGATATGATAAGTTAGCCTGTGCTAAGAACTTCAACATAGACTACTGAAAACACATTGTAAGGTAATTTAGCCTATTGTAAGTTGGTGAGCTTCATTTGCTAAGGAACTGCACAACTTTTCATTACTAATTGGTACATATTTTACATTTCCATTGTTTACTGGCAGTAAATGGTAAATATTTTTCATTTCTGAAGCTAAAAGTTGCATCCCCCCCCCCCACACTAGTGGTGGAGACTTTACATTTAACCAAAAAGACGCTGGTGTTTTATCCCAGCAGTGGGTGGACCAGCATTTTAGCTTAAGGTCCGCATAGGTAATATTCCTACAACTCTTAAAAAAAAAGTTCAGATTTTATCCGGATTAAAGGGGTCTCGACGGTGACGGTCTTTACTAGATTATTTTTCTCTTCAGATTAAACAAAAGCTACTTTGTCTGGCCTGATATATTCATTACCATATAATGAAGTGCTGTAGACAGACCTTCAGAGGACACTGCCATGTTATCCAATAACAAAACAGTCAAACAACGACTGGCAGCCGAGTGCAACATCTCTCAATAAGTGAACAGACTAACTGGTTTCTGTAATTACTGTATTTTGCCGGCAATAAAAATGTTAGTAATTTATTAACCCAAAACACAGCAAAATGAAATCAACTAATACTTTGTTTACAGCTACAGATTATTCAGCAAAATATTTATATTATCTGTAGTTGATAGCAATTAATTCGTGCATCCCAAGTATTGTACAGTACTAATACTTCTTGATATTTACCCTTAGAAGAGTTAACTAGACGAGGCAGTCCATGGGTTACAATTACTGTACTTTGTGAAGAAACCACAATGAGATGCCCTGTACTGTACCTAACCTGACTAGTGTGTCTGGTGCAGCAAGTCAGGTCACCAGAAGAACTCTAGTACTCCTCATTTCTTGCATCCTCCATCTTCAAGTCATCATCCTGGAATGATGAATTATTACAACTCTGTACTAATATATTAATAGTATACCTACAGTACATGCTACATCAATACAGGTTTACCCCCAATATACAGTACATGATAAACAAGTTTCAATAAATGTCTACACTATACAGAAGCAAATAATAAATCCCATTTTGCTGCCATTTTTATCAGTATAAAAATTTTCCCTCACAGGAACAACCCCAATAATACTGTACTAATATATAAACTACTTCAACTTAATGAAACCATTTCTAGGAACAATATTTTAGTATATTAAGGGACAACTGTATATCAATTTACTGAATACATGAAGAATTACACAGCTCAACTTAGGCAACAAATATGAAAAATGGGGACAAACGTAAAGTAACGCAACCTTATTTTTACCATAGGTCTAACAAATACAGTCGTGATATCACTGATATTTTGACAACTAAGCTTTGATACAGTGTACAGTATTATGTAGTCATTATACTGGTTAACTGCCCCCTACAATGTTTTATAGAACTGTACACAACTAGATTATTGATGACCATTATGCAAGGTATCTGTTAGTTAAAGAAAAGGTTTATTACATTCAAGAACGGTTGGTAAGAGTAAGGCAGAGTAATGTTCAACACTTTCTCCATCAATTTCTTGTAAGAATGTGGCAACATTAAAAAAAAAATGTAGCAAAGTACAAACATCAACAGGCCATCAACCCACAACATTAATTTACAATTCTTTACAACTACATAAAGTTCCTTGCGAAGTTTAATAACTTAAACTTTAAATTCCACCATTTATAACAAAGATAATCCACTTTTTCACCTGGTACAAAGTTTATATAGAATACAAGTACAGTACAGTGTTCCCTCGGTTAACAAACGGTTTTAGAGTGATCCAGTTACTGTGCAGGGCCTTAGAGCCAGACAGGTGAAGGTACTTGAAGGGGAAGAAGGATTGTGAATATAAATGACTTAAAATTAAACTAAAGGCAAGAGACTTAATCCTTGTTGGATGTATTTATTGATCACAGAACTGAAGTTTATTAAGCCAAGAGTTTACAGGCATTAATACACAACACAGCATTACTTGAGGAATGAAATTATACTGAGAAACCTGAATGCAGACACTGATGACTATAGCCAGTTAAGTAAACTATTTCATAAAATATACTGCAGATCAAACCCACTGACTATGAATACACTGACCATTCAGACTGTAGAAAGACCAAGTAAGATTGCCAGTCTGATTCCAAATGAAGTCAAGTCACCAAAGTCCCCCAAAACTTTCTATGTGTGGGCATCGGACCCAGACAAGATGATAGTTACGCAGACTCAGATCAGGGCAAGACAAGAGGCGTTAAATAGTGTTCACAAGAGGATGCAAACGTCCACGTGTTTGAGTGACAAAACTGACCGTTCTCAATCTAGTATTAAAACAAATTATCAAAACTAAAGGTACATAAGAGTCCTGATGGGGAGCCTCCCATGTTAAAGAGTTGAGCAGTGAGCTTCCTGAACTCATTAAATCTTGTATAGATGCATAAACAAACAAAACGTCTCCCAATGACTGGAAAATGGCATTTGTAAGTCCTATGTTGAAACAGAGGACATGTATGAATAATTACATTACTGTAAAGGCCAATGATTGATCAGTGTATTGTATAAAGGAAAGCCAATTGGTTTATGCCTTTGTCCAGCTTATAGGCAGGCAAGGGGCGACTTAATACAAGTTTATAAACATGTATAAGGGCATTACTTAGTCTAGTAAGAGTCAGTACATACCCAGTACTTGCCAACAGTGTATAACTGTCTGCACATGCCCAGCACATGCCAACAGTGCCTTACTGAGCCAGTACATGCCAACAGTGCCTTACTGAGCCAGTACATGCCAACAGTGCCTTACTGAGCCAGTACATGCCCAGTACCAGTACTTGCCAACAGCAAATGAAATTCAACACCAGCAAGTGCAGCGTACTTAATATTGGAAGAACAAATACTTATGTATACAGCCTTAACATCAACCTAGAGAAGTCGACTTGTGAAAGAGACCTAGGGGTACTTGTAAGCCCAGATCTACGGCCTAGAAAACAGTGCGTTAATGTTCGAAATAAGGCAAACAGTATTGGGTTTTATATCTAGAAGTGTAAGCAACAAGAGTGCAGAGGTCTTATTGTAACTATATCTTGCCCTAGTCAGGCCGCACCTCGATTATGCGGTTCAGTTCTGGTGTCCCTATTATAGAATGGATATAAATTCACTAGAGTCGGTGCAGCGAAGAATGACAAAAATGATTCCGGGACTTATAAGCCTTCCATATCAGGATAGGTTAAAGAAACTTAACTTGCATTCCCTAGAAAGACGAAGAGTGCTGGGAGATATGATAGAAGTATTTAAGTGGGTGAAAGGAATCAATAAAGGGGATATAGATAAAGTTCTTATAATATCCGAGCAGGATAGGACTCGGAGCAACGGATTCAAGTTGGATAAGTTTAGGTTTAGGAGGGAGATAGGAAGAAACTGGTTCACAAATAGGGTGGTGGACGAGTGGAACAAGCTTAGCAACTTTGTAGTAAGTGCGGAACGCTGGAAAGTTTCAAAAGGAGGCTGGATAGATTCATGGATGATAGAGAGTGGTAGTAACTCTCGACAGGAGCTGCCATGCACAGGCCAACCAGCCTATTGCTGACTCCTTATTTTCTTATGTTCTTATGTAACAGTGCCTACCAGAGCCAGTACATGCCAACAGTGCCTAACAGAGCCAGTACATGCCCATTACTTGCCAACAGTATGTAACAACCAGTACATGCCAACAGTGCCTACCAGAGCCAGTACATGCCAACAGTGTGCCTACCAGAGCCAGTACATGCCAACAGTGCCTACAGAGCCAGTACATGCCAACAGTGCCTAACAGAGCCAGTACTGCCATATGCCAGTACATGCCAACAGTGCCTACCCAACAGCCCAGTACATGCCAACAGAGCCAGTACATGCCCATTACTTGCCAACAGTATGTAACAACCAGTACATGCCCAGTACATGCCAGTGTCCAGATGCGATGGACCACTCTAGACCCCAGTTGCTAAGTTATTGAAGCAGACTTGACATTTCACTATATAACAAATTTTCTTACCACAATAAATAAGGAGGTGCTGTACTATCCACGCTAACGACCACTGATGCACCAAACTGGCCTTTAACACAACAATAACAACTGGATCCATCATCTGTAAAGAAAAGATATGTTAGAAAATATTCTTCCATTGGCGGTCAAGTTTTGGCACGAGATTATTTTTATTTGGTTTTTAGTTTTTTACTCAAATTTGACCATTTATTTTGCAAATTAGAGTTTTTGCAATTAAACTGGTAATTAGCACAAAAATTAAGGTTCAATGAGTAAATCGCCAAAACAAATAAAAATTATATACTATATATATATATATCGTCATACCAAAGGAGCCAAACTAACCTACCTACCTACCTAATCTTACCTACAAGGAGGAGGCAAGGAGACAGGAATATAATCTCGGGTAAATAACGCGGGAACCTGTGGTCAGCCAATGGACCAATATTAACCGAGAAATCTTACGAGTTACAAATACTTTAAAGTTAAATCTTGTAACACACAAGACCAAAACATACAATATGTATGTATGATCAACGTTACTGAAGTATGATCGTTATTAAAGTATGAGGAACGTTAATTATTCACACAAATCGAAGTACAGTACCAAAACCACCATAGTTCATTAATTTAAAAACATTAAACCAAAATAGTACAGCATTCTAGTCTAAAGTAACTAGTCTATGTGATTACGAGCGTTAAAGACCATTAACCTATGGTGGTTCACTAGTGCTCGTTCATACAGTAATTAACTAATGCCTTGTTTATCTTCAATAATTTTTGAAGTCCATTTAAAGTATTTCCTTTTCAAATAAAACCGTACAAAATCAACAAATAAATAACCTTACTATATTGACCTTTACACAATGACAAATTTAACCACTTAAACAAATTAAAAATAAAACTTACTATATATATTAGGTACAGAATCTGTCAAGTGAGAGAGACGACGAGCAGCACCTCCTCCCTCCGTGCCTCAACAGTTACTGAGACGCCACGTGTTAAGTCGCTTCTGTTTACTCCTCTGCCCGCAACAACCCGTATACGAATGAGAAAATATTAAAAACTAAATCCAAACTTAATCGTACATACAAAATTTTATACAAATTTTAAGTTAAATTAATTTATATCGTAATATAAAAAATTAACAATAAGGAAAACTTTGCGGAAAAATAAATAGAATAAGAATACTGTACAGTACTCCAATTTCTTCAGCTTCGGAAGCGGCCATGTGTTGAATCAGGGCTGCCAACACTACAGAATTACTTAAGTTTATCATTAAAAAATACTTTAATATAACCAAAACATTTACTTTTATTTAAGAATTATATAATACTTTCTAAATTTATTAAACCTTAATCTCAAAAAACCTTATGTGGAAAATTATAGACGAATTACTTCCCAGACTACAATAATGATAGTTACCGTACCTTACTGGGTGGTTCCCGCTCATTAGTAATAGGTAGTTAACGGCGCTCCAATTTCTCCTTTGGACATCATCAATTAGCTGACAGTCCCTAGCATATCTCGGGGACCAAACGGGGTGATAGTACTCCAGATAGGGTGACAGTACTCCTGGCGGGGAAGTACTCCACCTTTTCTCCGGCAGTTTCATACCTAAGCGGCTAATAAGCCTGGTCGTCAAAGGTTAAATCCTTAACTGCCTTAATCTGTTTACTAAGTTAACCAACAGTACATAACAGAGAGCCAGTACATGCCCACAGTAAAACACAATTCATGTACCGGAACAAATTTTAATGTAATTAATTCCTTACGGCAGATTTGGTCATTTTTGTAATATAAACTTATAATTAATTTATAAAGCCATACATAATGTGTAAGTGAAATAATTAATAAAATGGTATAGAAGATGACTTAAAATATTGATTTACATATTATAAAGTTTTATTGTAAACATGTTTAAGCAGCCATCAAAGGAACCACAAGTAGTGTCTTATATGAACCACTGTAACTCTTGGCCACATCTTGGGAGTCATACACATGTTTGTTTTATTATATTTTAAAGACAAAATATGTCCCAACAGTATTGACTCTCCATTTTATTATAATAATGAAGATCACAGTTTTGGTTACATAATGAGGGAGTTTTATAGTGAGGGTGGAGCTGAGGCACTCTTT